TGCTAGATGACCTAAAGATCTCGCAACCAGCCTAGGTGGTCAGGACTGAAAGCAGAGGTTAAACTGAAAGGGAAAAATTATGTATCAGGCCATCCCCCTGATATGTGAGAAATCATGGTTCCTGAAGCACAAGAACAAGCCTCGGAGGAGCGCCGTGATGGTCGAGAACGGCGCGGTAATTTACTACGCGACCAAACCGATGACGACACAGCGAGTTTTAATCTCGATCGGTACAAAGAAACAACAATCTTTGTTAGAGCGGATATTGTTGGAGATGGAAGTTGGTTTTTTATAGCAGTGAGCAATATCTATACAATCATCAGGATAGACACAAAGAATTAAGAAAAAAATCTTTAAACTATTTAAAACAACATTGGAACGATTTGAAATTATTCGCACTGGCCGAAAACCATAAACTGAATAATATAGACAACCAGATTTGGAACAAGATTGGAAATCTTAGCGTTATCAGATATACAGGGTTAAGCATTTTATGATTGGGAAAGTAAAGTAAACAAAACACACAAAATATTCGGGTAGAGACGAAAATTTTAATTTAACATAAAGATTAAACCTTGCAGTTATACGTAAAAAACAAAATCATTTGAATGTCCTCCACGGGACCTCCTACAGGCTTCAATGCTTTTGAGGTAATTTCGAATGACTTTTCGGCACATTACCGGTAACATCTCGGTCATAACTTCACGGATATTGGCTTTCGGTTGCTCAAGAGTCTGAGGATTGAAACACAAAAAGAAAACAGTGTTAAGTCACAGGATCTTGCGGGCCAATCGACATCACTCAATCTCGAAATTACCCGTTCTGGAAATTTATTTTGCAATAGGGCTCTAACTTCCAGTCTTGTGTGACTCGTTGCCCCATCCTATTGGAACCACATGTCTTCTAGATCATAATCTGCAGGTCTTCTTCTTCTTTGCATCAGGCAGATTATTGTCTCTTTTGCAATTTTTCTTTGTTTGGCCGAGCCATCTGTAGCATTGGGGAACAGGGGCCGCATATGGCACCATGCTTTTTTTTCAAATTGTAGAAACTGACATACCGAGGTAGCACTACCTCTTCAAAAGTAATTAATATTGAACTGGTTGGTACGTATTCGAAGACATTGTTCCTAATTACTTAGCCATTTAGCCTAACTATATCAACTACAAGGACAAGCGAGCTGTAGAATTCTTAATTTTCATCAATCTCCATATTCGAGACTTTAACCTTTGCAATACATATACAAGGTGGTTTTTTAGTGCGAGAGAGTCCATTATTTCCATTGGTGTTAAACTTTCAAAAAATAGTTTCATATAAAAGTTGTTGAGGAGTAAAGTTCGCACATATTAAAAATATCTTATATGATACAGATTGTCTCAGAAAAGCGAGGCAAGATCAAAGTGTATTTTTTTAAATAGAACCTCCCATTTTTCATTAGCCTATATAATGCAGTCGTAAATTGTTTTTTTCTTACTTGCGACGTTGGCAGATTATCGCCATTTTAGTAAAATTTTACTTAAAAACATGGTATCTAAAAATTCATTCTAGAAGCAAGAGAAAGCAGTTAAAGATACCAAAAACACGTCTTTCCAATTACCTCAGATCCGTTAAGACTTCTATTAAAACCAAAATATCCATGCATTGTGCAGGGTGTTCCAATGTGTTCTTCAATCTAAAACTTTTTAACGCAATATAACTTTTGTTTTTCAAATGGAAGTACCTGCATTTTAATACGTCATTAGATAGACAATTTACAAAGTTACAAATTTGCATTTACACTTTAAGTTGTGAAATCAACCGTTTTCAAATTATAAATTATTTTATTTAAAACTTAAAAAAGTTGTTACATTTTGTAAGGTTGCTATGGAATGCATTAAATATGTGTCAAGTAATTGGTCTCAGTAAAAAGATCCAACACCTTTGAAGCGTATTTTCCAATTGAATCCAATTTTCAATTGAAAACTTCTTTGGCTATTTTTAGGTGATTGAATTTGCCAATATTATTACCCATTTCAAGCGCTGATTCGATATATACTAACTACGGGCCCATGTCAGTTGGTTTGTACATTCGGAGACTATTTGTTTCTTTTTTGTTAATATTCGGAATGTCGATGTTGTTTTGAGAAATTTGTATTGTATTATTATTATTATTTTTTAAACGCCATCCGGGGTTCGCTGCCTCCTCCATACTCTAGACTTGCCTTTAAGATCTCTCTGGACGCACGAGTTATGTGGCCAGTTCCCATGGATTCTGCTGTATCAGCAGCTAAGGAATACCGCCAACCATAATTTTATAAAAAAGCCTCATGTTTTGCTTATATCATTGAATTAATGTAAAAGTCAGTCAGAGTACAACC